CGGAGGGATATGAATTTATTCTGGCACCAGTTGTTTGAGCAAGAGTCTAAGTCCTACACCCTAAGTCCTCAACCTTCTGTAGACAAATGAAGGCCAGATGTCCCAGGCTGCTGCTCTCTGAACTTTAGCAGCAGAGGTTATCTGTTTATGGGAGCAGCAGTGCCTGTTTTTGCTGGCACACATGATAGAGATAGAGAGAGGCTGGGTGAACAGGCACACTCCCAGGTGCCTTGGGCCCTCCTGGGAGGGATTAAGGTTATCAGTGCCATGAAGCTTCCCAGGATAGCACCTGGGCTGTGGAGCACACCTACTGCTTATCCACATTGATTCCCAAGCCTGGACAGGGACCTTAGGTCAGGGTCCTCACACATTGCTAGAATTAGCAAGCAGCAGATTTGGGTCTCTGTATTGCCCCCATCCCTGCTTCACTATGGGGCAACACAAGAGATGTGAACCCAGCAGATTAATTCAAATTGTGGGTGGAGAGAGTAAAGGAATGTCTCCAAATTTAAGTTTCTCCCTCAATCTTGGCCTGCTGAGAATAGGAAAGAGTGCCTGTATGGTAGAAAATAAGATAGTAACCACACATGAAAATGAGCTACTTATGCTTTGGGATTATCTGTGTCACAACTGTGTCTGGGTAATATGGCTGCTTGTATTTAATTTGCTTTTTACTTGTATACTATCTCCCATTTATCTTTCTAAATTAAGCAACCATGTCAAGTATTCTATCTTACTCCTAAAGATTACCTAAGGAATAGTACCTAGGGAAGGGGCTATCAACCTCATATTGCAGGTAGAGAAACTGAGACTGAGAGACTAAACAACTTCCCAAGAGTTGGAATTTTCTTCACAAACTTGCTTCCATATTGGGGCAAGTGATGTTGTTCCTGGGAATCTGCCCAAGAATCCCCCTAAAAAAGAGGAGCTCCTAGAGGGCAGGATTGAGAATATTCATACCTCCCCCTACCAACAGCCAGCCAATCTCCTTTGTTCTATCACACTAGGTTTGGATAGATTAAAGCAGCTATTATCGTCCTATGCTCCATCCTTGGTACAAAAAGCTCCTTGCCAGGCCTCCTATCCACCATAACATCTGTTTCCAGAAATCACTCCCATTGTCATCTGCCATCCCCGGCCACCTAACCTCCACAATAAGCTGAAACCCCGTAGTGCAGTAGTGCAGGAGAGTTCCCTTCTTTCTTTGATCACCAGTACAAACTTGATTCTGCTCTATCTCAGGAAGACTGCTCTGCCACTTCACCAGGTGTCTGTGAATTACACTGGTCACTTCCCAGAACTCACTTGTCCTTTGACCTCCTCAGTCTCTTTCCTCTTTTGGCCCTGGGACAAGTTTCTCTGAGCTTCCTCTTATTGGCACAGTAAATGCTCCTTCAGGCTCTGTGTGCTTTTTTTTTTTTTTTCGTACCAGGCAGGGATGGAACTCAGGACCTTGTGCTTTCGAAGCAGGCGGCAGAACCACTGAGCTAAATCCCCAGCCCTGCTGCGTGCTCTTTAACTCCCATGGCTGCACAGGATATCACCTTCTCCCTCCCCCTGTACACTCTTATGGGGTGACTTGCTGCTTCAGATTCTTTAGCCTTACCTGATTCCCAGACCTCCAGCTTTGAAGCCTGTACCCATATTTATCCCTCAGTTCTTCAGGAAGTGGATGAAATGCCATGCCACATAGAATCCCCTTTGGTGAGAGGAAGCTAATGCTCCCCAGGTCAAACTTCAAATTGAAAAGGACAGGGAGGAGGGAGAGCAGGTGAACTTCCTCTCTATCTCTCAATCAATCCCAGGCCTGGTGTTTCTGTGCAGTCTGTCCAGAGACATCTCACACAGGCAAGTGACCAGCTGTGTCTCTGTGAAGCAAAATGGCCAACTTACTAAACAAAACTTTTGATTTTTTTTCTCCTTTCTGTCAGTCTCACTGCTCTAGGACTGTACCTTCCAATAAAGAACTGGCTAAGTTTTGCTCCAGGTCTGGTTTTCTAAGTAATCTGAATTAAGATGGTAAATTCATTCAAATCATTCCTTCAACCACTGATACACTCCCAAATCATTCTCCAGCCTTTCATCTCCAAGGTAGGCTTCTCTGCTAAGCTCAAGACCCAGCTGGATGTAATTACCAAATGAATATCTCCACCTGGACATTTTCACAGGCATCTCAAATTCATGTCCAGAACGAAACTCACCATTTCCCTCCTCAACTATGCATTTTGGGGGATGCAGAGATGGAAGGCACACTAAAGGAATCTGTCTGGGTTGGGGAGATAGAGGAGCTAACAACCAATTACAATGGAAACAGACACTTACTAGTATAAAGCAGTATAGGAAGAAGAGAAGGAAGCCTACTGTGTGCCAGGCACAGTGCTTGATGCTTGTATGCATTAATTCATTTAGCATTCACAACAAATCTGTAAGATATCACTCCCAGCCAGGCATGGTGGTACATGCCTGTAATCTCAGCACTTGGGAGACTGAGGCACAAGGATCACCTTGAGTTCAAGTCCAACCTGGGCTATATAGTGAGTTCAAGGCCAACCCAGACACAGTAAGTTCAAAAAACCAAAATATATATATATAATTCCTATTCTGTGAATAAGAAAACAGATCCTGATTAGAAACCTTACCAAGGTTATAAACCAACTGAATCTAAGCATTCCTAGAATAAAGGTGTGTGTGTATGTGTGTGTGTGTGTGTGTGTGTGTGTGTATATATATATATATATGTGTATATATATATATACATATATTTTTTTTTATTTTTTGTACCGGGGATTGAACTCAGGTCCTTGCGCTTGCAAAGCAGGCGGCAGAACCACTGAGCTAAAACCCCGGCCCAAGGTATATATTTTTTAAAAACAGTCTTCAGAGGCCAGGTGTGGTGGCACACATCAGCCCTTGGGAGGCTTAGGTAGGAGGACTGTGGAAAGTCTGAGGGTTCACTAGGCTACACAGTGCTACATAGTGAATTCAATGCCAGCCTGAACAACATAGCAAGACCCTGTCTGTCTCAAACAAACAAACAAAAACTTAAACTGTTTTCAGAAAGAAGCACCTAATAAACCATAGGGTTTGGAAAAGTAGCCCCTTGGAGGCTGGAGAGGTGGGCAGGACCCAAACCATGAATGGCCTTATGTGCCATTCTAATGACTATAAAAGTTTAAATTCTAAACACTCGGAATAACCATTTCAGGATTTTAGGCAGTTGGAAGGACTACTTCAGGATTTGAAGCAGGGAATGACATGGGTCAGAATGCATTTTGGAAAAGTCCCTCTCCATGTAAAGAATCGGCTGAAGAAAGACAACAGAGGTGGAGTAACCAGTTTAAAGACTGCCAAAGTACCCAGAGCAAGAAGTTATATACAAAGTTAGAAGTAGGTGAAGTAAAAGTGGATTTAGGATAGTAATGAAGGTAAAATTCAACAGGGCTGGGTAAAGTAGCTAAAGTAAGTGAAGAGTCAAAAACACAGGGTTGTGGTTTGTTGCATCCAGGACACAAAAGCAATTTCAGTTTTTTACATGTCAAATTTTAGATAGATACTTGTGGGCACTCATACAGAGGTGGCCAGCAAGTAATTGAATGAGTCTGGGATTCAAAAAAGTAGTAGTTCAAGTGGTGAGAAACTATCACCAAGGAAAAAGATGGAACAAAGAAAGCCCTATTCCCTTCTCAGAGTGCCTTTAGAGTTGCCCACTCTTGACCCTCAGTGTGTTGAGCACCAATCAGGAGGCAAGTCAGCAGCTTGGGTAGAAAGGACAGCAATACAATCCAATCACAGGGGAAGGTCAGTGTAGTGCAATTCCTTAGCACTAGAGAAGCCAAACTTGAAGAGGTAAGGCAAGCACTATCTGGTGTCAAGACACAGTAATCCTTGTTAATCAGTTCTGTGGGAAGTAAGCCATAACATCCTAAGTCATCTTTTGTATGTAACAAATTAAATCTTATACATCTAGACTGGTACTAGCCATATAGCATCCGTGAGAGTACTGAAGAAAATTATTCAAATCACTTTTTCTCAGAACCCCAGTCAAGAAAGGATGTAGGGGCCGGGGATCTAGCTCAGTGGTTCTGGTGCCTGCCTCGCAAGGGCAAGGTCCCGAGTTTGATCCCTGGTACAAAAAAAAAAAAGGCTCTAGGCACTGAGTAGGCTATCAGATACTACCAGGACTCACTATCTTGCCTGAAGGTGTTCTAGATGGAGAATATGCCCCTGGGCTCCTACCTTGGAGCCCCTCTTCCTGCTTGCCTCTTCCCTTCATGAGAAGCTATACAAGTGGAGGACCCAGCCCAGACAGACAGCTCCAAGGCACCGAGAAATTCTTTCTTCATCTGGATCAGAACCCTTTGGGAGTGTGGCCTGACATTTTTCCCCAAGTGGGCAATGAAAAAGTATATCAAGGAGCCAGCCAACTAAACTGGAACTAAGTTCTAAAATGCTGGGGTGCTACTCACAGGCCCAGTGGATCCCAACCCTTGAGGCATTTCAGTAAGTCTAGGTCAAGACCCAGAAATTTATAAATTTGTAGAAGTAGCTCCTCAACTGATAATAATTTATAGTGAGATTTAGGAATAGTTTTCACAACTTCCATCCTTTCTTACTGGTTTGTTGTTTTGGTTTCCCCTTGTTTAGTAAATGTTCCTCTAACTGCCCCCAGGTCTAATAAAGTCGGCTGGGGTGGTGATCACATCATTATTCCAGCTCTAGAAACTGGTCTAGAGCAGTGGAAACACAGCAGGGCTAGCAGAGCTACCCACCCTCAGCTCTCTGAACTCTCTCAATGAACATACATGCCTACACCTAGTCTAGTCCTTGTCCCCTTGCTCAGAGTAACTTACTGCACACAGATTTGAGGGGCACAGCACTCTTGGTCAGTACAGAGAGGGGCCCTCAAATTTAATACAGACAGAGCTTCTTCAGCATCCCTTCTCCTCCACTCCTGCTGAGCCAAATGGCCCAAGCCCAACCTCAACATCACACAAAAAGCATTGAAGCAGAAGTTGCTTTAATCAAGGGATGAAGTCCTCACTCAATCAGAGGGACCTCATTCAACCTTTGGTGGTGGGAGTCTCAGCCTACCCCCCACATGCCCTGGGGCGCCTCAGGAAAGAGGGAGAAATGAACAGCAAATTATGGAAAATGCCTGGGGACAGGAATGGAAGAACCCAGGTTAAGGGGTAGGAGTGGAGCTCTGCCAAGATGGGAGCAAAACTGAACAGGACAGGAAGATTTTAGCCCACATGGTTCTACCTAGGGTTGGCTGAGGTGGCTGTGCATTGGGCCAAGTGGCAAGAGGAAGGCTGAGGGTTGAAGGGGACAGTGGCAGGAGGAGTGCTTAGGAGATGAGGTGACTATGAAGCTGGTACAGCTGCTCCTGGGTCAGCACCAGCCGGTGTCGCTGTCCGAGGCCAGCCGCACATGAGAAGGTCACTTTGCCCATGTAGACTGTGTCATCTTGCTGCTCTTCCTTGGCCTTGGGGTTAAAGAGAGAAGATTCCAGGTCAGGGGCTCACTTAAACTGTGGGCCACTGAAGAGGTCCTTGATACCAAGGCAGCCCCTCAGAGAATGAGGCTTTTGAGTTCTTGGGCTATCGTGGCCACATTTTTCAAATTAGAACGGGGCACACAATCTTGCAAGGGAGTTTGGAGTCATGGTATCAAGTCATAGAAGGTATTGTTTTATCTAAGATATTACAAGAATTATGAGTTACTTCCAAGTTAAGACTTGGACTTGCTAGATAAAGCAGAGTGCATGCAGTTGTGGGATCTAAGACTCCAGAGGTGTGCTGAAACTCTGGAGGAGGAACAGGACCCATCTGGACCCTCCACACTATGCCATCCTCTGCCCCATGCTCCCCCTTACCCTGAGGAAGACTGATGAAGGGAAAGTGGCAAAGTCAGTGGGGACTGTGGCTCCAGGGCGTTGAGATACTGTCTCCCTGAGGACCTCATCCTGAGGAGGGAAAGACAAAAATTATTTAGGGGACCCTCCCACAGATTAGCACAAGACCTCCCTGGTTTCAAAGAGTTACTAACACCAGGAGGGCAGAACTAAATCTATTACTTTTCTTTTGCCCTGACCTCCAACCACATCCCCACTCCAACATCCCTCCTTTAAAGATTCTTCTTCTTTGAGACCCAATTTACCTTCTACTGCCTCTGGGATGCCACACCCAAGAACTCTACCCTACAGTGATCTCAACTCTGACAAGCTGCAGCTTGAACGACACACTCTAGAGATGAGCCCAACTCATGAATTTTGTTGATAAGAATTTATCTTCAGTTTGTACCAAGACATTCAGTTCCTAAGGCAAAAATTCTGCCTTCCCTTCTACCCTCTCCCCAGTGTGCCATCTACCATGGGGCTGGCCCCCAAGGAACTCTAAAAATGTTTGTTTGACTCTGTCAATGAATGCTCTGAAGTGAGTTTAGAAGGGTGGGGAAGGGCAGGGTCTGAGCTGACCTTGAGCTTCTCAATGGTGTCGCTCAGGGACTTGAGCTGAGCCACTTGCTCCATAAGCTGGGCCGATGGGCTCTTGGAAGCTGTTGAAAGGGAAAGCTAGTAAGGCCCACCAAAGCCCAGGCTGGCAGCTGAAATGGTCTAAGTCAGGAGTACTGGTAATGAACTTGAGAGAGAGTGAGAGAATCAGGCAAACTAAACAGTAAAGGTAAAGGACATTGCTGGGAAAAGCCTCTATGTGCAGGGACTGCCTGGGCAGGGGCTAAATTCCTGGTGTAAGGGGAAGGGGTGTGTTACTGATCTCAGGGATCATCAGAAGGTACATACCAGGGCTGGCACGAGTGATATCTACTACATGAGTGTGAGTGCTCAGCTGATTTAATGTCTCCAGCAGCTGACTGGTCTTACGATATAGCACTCCAGCGGCTAGCTCACTAGCAGGGCCCTCATGGGGTGGGAGGGAAAGCTTTGCAACATGCAGAGGGGGCAGGGCTGCCAAGGATGCCTTCATCTGGGCTCCCTGTGGGAGAAAAAAAAGAGGGGTAGTGGTGAGAGGTGATAGAAGGCCTCTCTCATGCATCATCAATGGGACAGGTATGCTCCATCCTTTATCCCAGTTCTCCCTGGGAGCTCCTCACCTTCAGAATGCTGTTCTCATGCTGGAGCTGAGAGATGTGCAGCCTCATGGCAGAGATCTGCTGAAGCAGCAGGGGTGAGTCCTTCACCAGCCCTGGGCCTGGCAAGGACCCTGGAGCCTGCCCAGGAGTGCTTCCTGTGGATACCATAACAAATGTCCTTAGCCCCAGGAGGAAAATTGGGCTTCATCACTGCTCTCTCCCTTTCCTCATTCCCTCCCACCTCCAATCCTGGCTTCTCCCAAATGGCAGGAAGCATCACCCTGCTCTCCCAGCCCCAGTGCCCACCAGCCCTGGTAAGCCCCAGTCAGGTTGGGTCTCTACCTCGCTGCTGCTCTTCTGTACTCGGGATAGCCCATGGGGGAGCAGGAAAAGAGGAAAGAGGAATTAGATAGTTTGGAGATGGGGGACATACCAGAGGAATCCTGAACCCGACCTGTAGGAATACCCTTTGCCTAATCATCCTACCCTCTTTATAATACCCCATCTCTGTCCCTGCCCTTGGGCTAAGAGTACACATGCGTGGAAAAAGAGAACTAGGGGGAGTGAGGCCATGAATCAGGTTGTGAGAAGAACGGCAAAGTGAGTGCTGGATGAAGCACCTGAGATGTGAGGCTGTTCTCCTCTCTCTGTCTCTTACTCTATCTCCAAGAAGGGAATGAGGATGCTCTAGAGAGCCCCATATGTCTGTACCCTTAGTGCTCACCAGCAGCAAAGCTTGAGTTGAGGATGCAAGCACATTCCCTTGTTCCTCAGGTTTCCCCATTGCCCTGAGTCAAAGTTTCATAATTTTGGGGTGTTTCATGATTTCAGAATCAATATTTGTTTAAAAAGACGGTGCTTAAAACAGTACAGGGTGATAATTCTGAAGATTTCCCTCAAAGAACATGAAGCTGTCTGTACCACAGGAGTCTAATGTCACAAAGGTACTTGGTTACCTCCCAAAAGCAAGCAGCACCAGTGACAAGGACTTTGATGAGAACAAGCAGACAGACACAGGAGCATTAAGATGTGTTATATACATGTATCAACTCCCCACAATGAATGTAATCTTACATACTGAAAACATGTACTTAAAAAAAAAAGAAGACATAGGAATAGTGGGGAAAGTCCAGAGGCCTTGATGGTTTAATTCCAGGGAAACAAGATATATTCTGGACGTGAAAAACTAAAGGGGAAACAAAAACAAACTATGGGGTAGATGAGAACCAAGATGCAGCAGCCACTTCCTCTCCCAGGAAACTGGGGAGACTGGGTCTGAAGCCATAGAAACCCTAGGTAAGAGCCCTGACCATAGTGAGTGACTAGGCAAAGGTCAGAATAGAAGGTAGAAGTAAAACTGGGAGAATTATGCAATGGAAAAGACAATCACACCATAAGATGAAGCCGTGTGAGCTCAGTGCCCAAACGGAGGGACAGTCAAAAGCAGGTTTCAGGCAAGGCTGGAAAACCTGACGGTAGCAGACTGACAACCCTCAGGAACATAAAGCTGAGACAGAAAGGCCAGATTGTAGACCCAGAAGGGCCAGCTACTAGAGTGCAACTGTCATCATCATTCTGAACTTCCCTGACAAACTTGTGAATGCCCTACTTTAGTCAGAGGAACTCTGCACATATCTTTAGGGAAAGTGAAAACTTGGTGAAAGCGGGCAGAGTGAAACTAGGCAAACATGTTCTTAGCTAAACATCCAGGGGGAAGAGAGGCAAAAGTCAAACTTTGGCCAAGACCTTCAAAGCAATACAGTCAGTCTCCTCTGGGCCAGCACTACCTAAACCACTGTACTCACCGCCAGCAATGCCAGAGACCAGTGTAGCAATGCCTGAGGGAGGGGGCCCCCGGAGCCCCTCAATTGTGCGCTTCGACTGGTTGTTCAGTCGCTGTTTTAGCTCTGCCTTCTCTGCCTCCAGCTGGTCAATGTCAGCCTGGAGCGCATCCATTGTCTCCTCAAACTCTCTGTGAAAGAGAATGTGGGCTTGGGCAGTGTCCCTTCCTCAAGGCCCCACCTGACTTTTCAGTACTGATAGGTTCTTGGGGTAGCCCTGTTAGTGAGGAGACAGAGACAGGGCAACAGGGCTCAGGATGGGGTGAACCAATAGGGTTGGAATGGAGAAGGATAATGGGGAGTCTCACTACGAGGGGAAGGGAGAAGGGTTAGTAACAGAGAGCCTTCGGCAAGAGAGAAGGTTGGAGAAAGTAGGCCCCAGGGAAAGTGCCTGACTTCTCCTTCTTCCGCAGCAGTGTCTGGGTCTCCTCCAGCCGAGTCTGGACTTTGTCAATACGCTCATCTGCATCTTTGGCGGCGCTGTCCAGCTTCTTCTCCAGGAGGCTGAGCCGCACGTTTGCCTCACTCAGCTCCTCTCCCTGGACAAGACAAGGAGCTTCTAGTTCCCTGACATCCTCCCCACATCCCCAAGACCTAGGTTAGACCATGAGCTAGAAAGACCCCTGACAGGAATGGGAATCTGATTCAGTGGTAGAGTGCTTGCCTAGCATGTGCAAGGCCCTGGGTTTGATCCCCAGCATTACATTAAAAAAAAAAAGAAAAACACAAAAAAGCTCCCTGACAGCTCCCTGGTCCCTTTTCCTCCAAAACTGTCTCAGTCCCAATCCCTGTACTTGCTACTGCCCTGGGTCCCACCATACTTCCTAGCCCCTAAATCCCAAGTCTACCCTAACCTCACCTTTGATTTTTCTATTTTTTTTATTAGTATATGCTTGCAGTACAGAACAATTACATTTGAATGGAGTGGGTACATGTACACAACACATCTTGATTATTTTTACTTTCCGTTCTTCTGTCCTCCCTCCACTCTTCCTCCATCTCTTGTTCCCCTTCCCTTTCATAAAAGATCTATCTCCTTGTTTCCTATTATTTTGCTCTTTATTTATACTTTGTGTTTCTCATAGAAGAGAAGCCATGAGATATTTAAGCTTGTGTGTCTGGTTTATTTTACTTGACATTATACCCTTACCCTCACCTTAATCTTGAGTGACTTCTTCAACTCCTTGATAACTGTCTCTCGATCTTCAAGCTTCAAACCTAGGCCTTCAGCATCTGTGATCTCCGCACGAAGGGCTGCAGCCCGAAGCTCAACTGGAGGAGGCTAAGAAATAGGGTGGGTCAGAGGGTAGGGGTGGAGAGCAGATATTATCAAAGTGCTTCTTTCAGAAAGATCCAGTTTCAGGGAAAACATTCTTGCCTTTAGGCAAGATATTGCTTTCCAGACGCTCTTTTCCTGCCTCCCTGCTCTCCCACAATTAGCAGCAACTCTGCAAGTCCTGCTTCTCCAGGCCACTGGAGCCCCTCCAAGGAAATCTCCACCTACCTTGCTGGGGGGCCGCTCAGCATCATACTCCCCTTCCTGCATAGCTGTGGCCAGCTTGTTCATGGTGCTGATGAGGATGGTGCATGACTGACGCAGACACTCATAGGGGCTACTGGAAGGGCTCCCATAAATCTATAGGACCCAAGGGCAGGAGTGAGAGCACAGCCCTGGCCACTAACTTCTCATCCTCTTCTACCCAGCCATCCAAGCCAACCTGTTCATTTGCTTTGAAAGCCAGCTCCTCCAGTGCAGCCACAGGTAGCCCCTCATTCTCTGCCAGGGGGGCAATGAGCTGAGCAGCAGCAGCTGCCACTTCTTGCAGCACAGCCACCACCCATGTCAAGTGTTTCCTGCAGTCTAGGAGTGTGTCCGATACCTGTGTGACAGACTACAGTCAAGAGCCCACCCTGAGTCCAGCATTACATTCCCAGCTACCCAAAAAACCAGTATTGTCCCCTGATCAGATCCAGATCTTAACATGCTAGGCCCTTCCTTGTTCTACTCAGCTTCGTTTCCTTCCCTACTCAAAGTCCTAAACCTGGGATCCAAAGGCCAGTGCAGCTGGGATTCCAGGAGCATCTGTCCCTGGCATTCGCCTTCGGATCTTCTTGCAGAACTGGCGGATGTCACTGCATGATGTTTCTAGGTCCCGAAGCAGAAGGGCAAGATCTGTAGCCTCCTGCCCACTCTAGGAAGGAAACAGGAAATGAATGGGAAACTAAGCACTAGAGATGGAGGTGAGGACCAAGAAGGAAGAGAATCTCTCACAGCTCTCGAAATGCCCTCACCTGCAAGAAGGCACGCAGCCGCCCCACCTCCACGCTCATGCAGTCCAGGGCACTCTGGGTGAACTGTGAGGAGAGAACATGTGGTCATCGGCCACTATCAGGAACCTTTTGCCCCATCATCATATCTAAGAAATATCCACCCTATGCTGACTCCCATTTATAAGTGGATCCTTTGGCTTCTCTGATTTGGCTTTGGTGGCCCTGTCCCAGTCTCATGTGACACACTTTGGGAGCCTGATCTCTTTATGTAATGTCCTCTGATTCTGGTTTGTACAGGGGACTAAACCACTGATCCAGACACTTCACCTTAATGTGGTCAGCCAGCTGCATGGTACAGTCCTCAGGCTGTTCAGCAAGGTGGATGCTATACAGATGCTGGGAAGGGATGACAAAAAAAACAGCCTTTAGCCTGTGGAAGAGGGCGGAGTTCTTCCCAAACTACAGCATGAGCCAGGGTCATTGTAAGTCTCCAGAGGTACAGAAGAATCCAAAACCACTAGGCAGCTGAGTCATAAGGCAAGTTTATCTAAGAGTAAATCAGGCTTCAAGCAGCCAGCCTGACACATACAATCTTGATTACACTGGCAATAACTCCTATCAGACAAAAGCTTCCCTCCCTCCTGCCCTAAACCTGAATTCTTGCTCCAGACCTGGTAGTATTTGATGGCCTTGGTGAGAGGCTCCACATTGACAGTCTCATCCAGCTGATCCTTGTGCAGCAGCTCAATGAGGAAATCTAAGGAGCGCTCGTGGGCACTCATCTCAGGGTAGAGGCTGCCCACCTTCTTATACACATCCACATTGCACTGAGAAAGGGCACTAGAGACCAGAGAAGGGCTCTGTGAGGCTAGGGTCTTCCAGGCAACTTCAGTTCAAGCCTATCCTGGACCCATGACCCTGGAGCAGAGGTCAGGAGTCACTTACTGCTCATAGCGGTGCAGTGTGGCCTGCAACAGGCTCAGTGAGTATACCAGTCCAGCAGCAAAGCTGAGCTGCTCCCCTGCAGCTCCTCGAAGTCCAGGCCGCTCCAAAGAGTTCTCACTTAGTTCAAATTTCTCTTGGGCCTGCTTCCGGATCAGCTCTGCCTGCAAAGAGAAGACCAGGGACCTAGAACTCAGAGAAGAGGCTGGAGAACAGACTTAGGAATAGTGGACACAGCTTAACAATTATGTGGGAAGCATGGATGTAGACAGATGAGAGAGAGAAAGCAGAGTAGCTCTTAGATGGGCAGGGAGTCTCCCTGGGGAAAGGGTAATGATGTGATTATTGGATTTTGTGAGGATTTATGGTATGAGAATGAAAAGGGCAGTGAGACCATGAGAACCAAGTCTTCCTGACTTAGAGCTGCTGCCCCACTATCTCTCCACCTAGAATACTATGCTGTCAATTATTCCCCTAGCTAAATCCTAGCCATCTTCTGGCTCTGAGCTAAAATATTCTCTCTTCAGTTATATCCTGCTTTCATCTAAATCAGATCCCCAATGATGCTCCCTCAAAGAGTCTATCTCTCTTTTATAACACACAATTTGTAATACAGTTATCCCTTGAATCTGTAGGGGATTGGTTCCATTACCCTACACAGATACAATAATCTATGGATGCTTAAGTTTCTTATATAAAATGCCATAATATTTACATATTACCTTATGTATGTCCTCATGTATATTTTAAATCATCTCTAGGCTATTTATAATATCTAATACAATGTAAGTGTTATGAAAACTGTTTTTATACTACATTGTTTGGGGAATAATGAAAAGAAAAAAGTCTGTATGTGTTCAATATAGATATAATTTTTCCCCTAAAATTTTTGATCTACAGTTGGTTGAATCTACAGTTATAGAGACTTCACAGTCATCTGTTATCTGTGACTTGACTATAAGTTCCTCTGCTACCTCAAAAACTCTTTACAGCTGGGGATTTAGCTCAGTGGTTTCAACGCCTGCTACGCAAGTGCAAGGACCTGAGTTCGATCCCCGGTACCAAAAAAAAAAAAACTCTTTATGGGCAGATGCTGACTGCTGTCTTCACTCAGCATCCTCAACATCTGGATCACAGCAAGTTCAACAGATTTTTATTGTGCATACAAATAACCGGCCATACCTTGCAAATGAGACGAGGCATAAGCAGCAACACCAGGACACAGTCATGGTCTCCACCTGGCCGAAGGAAGCTGTCAGGCATGAAGGCTGTCAGGAGGGACATGTGCCGGTTGGCCTGGGCCACCTCCATCTGTCTCAACTCCATCTCGATTGCCTATGAAGTGGACAGGGAGGAGGGCTCTCAGCTAAGGTAGAGCCTCAGAATCACCATACCCTGCTCTACCAGGACCCATGCTTTTAGGACAAGCCCAGGCCAGTAGTTTCCCAAACTACAACACAAAGCACACCTTCCCTGAGGAACCTGAAGCTCATAATTCTCTATCAGGTCAGCCCACAGATATACCTAGGCTGAGCTCCCTAACATTCTAGCCTCAGACCATCTACTTTCCTGACCTTAGCATGTGCCTTAGTCTCAGCAAACTTGATTTTGAAGTCAAAAGTCTCTAGAGGTGGCTGCTGCTGTCTCTCCACAGATGCTTCCTGCTGGTTTGTCAATTCCCGATTCACATCCTGGGAGCAAAGACAGTGAGGTACAGCTAGGCTGTGAGGGAGTCCTGGGGTGATCATGGGACATGAACAGGGTGTGGGCAGGCACCTGCAGGTGGGCAGTCAGCTGGCGGTACTTCTTGATGGTTTGCTGGTAGTCTGCAACTGTCTCTTGGGCTGCCTCCACACGTTTCTGGGCCTCACGCACTCGGGCACCTGCCATGTCCAGCTGCTCCCGCAGCTCCAGTTCTGTCTCACGTGCATTCTCCTGCAGCTCATCATTCATCTCATTCATTGCTTCCTAGAACACAACGTAGTGTTGGGAAACCAAAGGCAAGGTCAGAGCAGCAGGGCTAAGATGAGTCCTTTACTACACAAGCCTACTCAACGTATCAATCTCTCAGCAAGTTCCTTCCATATACTCTCCATCAGGTATCTACTCTTCTCTTACCAAGTCCCCTACAGTCTCCCTCAACTCCCGCACTTTCTCTTCCAGATTCAGATTCCGGTCAGTCAGCATCTCCACCATCTCCTCAGCACCCAGAGCAGCATCCACCTGTGTTAAGAGGAAGGGACAAGGAAAAGTGCTGCTGAGGGGTGGCAACAGGAAAATCAGGTAGGGAGATTCTGGGCACAGGCTGGACTCCCCAGACCTGCTCCTTGAGCTCATCAATGGTGCTCTCTGCCTGGGTTAACTCTTCCTGAAGGCGCTCTCGCTGTTGCCTCACAACTTCCAGCTCTTGGTTCTTCTTTTCCATAAGTTTCTGGAGCTTCACATGTTCCTGCTTCTCTGAGGAAGAAAGATCCCGCATCCTGTGAGGAAGAGGGAAAGAGAAAAGGGGGAAGAGTATGTGTCAGAGTCAGCAAGTGATGGGTGCTCTAACACATTCAGAGGCCAGTGAGTGAGCTCCAGACCCGAGGAGAGAGGAGCCTACCTCACCAGGGCATCCTTGAGGCGAGCGTTCTGTTCCTCAAGCTGCTTGAGCTGGTAACTGGATGCAGCCCCATCTGAGCCTGGGAAAGACCATTGCCATGTTCAGGCTTGTCACATCCCCCTCAACTCATCCCCCACCCACACACACAGGTTCTGGCTCCTTACCCTTCTCTTCGATCTCAGCCTTGAGGATCTCCAAGTCTGTGGTAAGCTCATCCACGCGCTCCTTCAGGGCCTCCACCTCCTGCTGCAGAGACTCAGCCCGCTCTTCAGCCATCTCCTTGTCCAAAGTGGCCATCTCGATGGCATCAGCAGTATCTGCCATCTCCTCCATGTAGCGCTCCTTGGCCTCCATTGCCTCCTTGGCTTCCTGAGGGGTGAGGTGGGTGGGCAAGAGCATAGAAATGTCTGTGCAGCCCTTCTTCACATGGGATTCTGGACTCCAGCATCAACCTAGTTTCCAGTTACATCCTCAGGACCTTCATCCCACCCGGCTGGCCCCTTCATCCTGAGTTCTACCTTCCGTGCCTCCTTGAGGCGCCGCTGCAGGTCTGCCTGCTGCTCCTGCATTTTGCTCTTCCATTCCTGCACCTGCTCCAGCTGGATCTTGTGTTTCTCCAGCTCTTTCAGCTTTGCCTTGTCTTCTGCCCGTTTTAGCCGAAGGGTCTCCAGTTTCTCCTCCAGGTCTCGAACCTGAGCCCTCAGTCCCTCCTCCTCCTGCCAAGAAGAGGCCTCACGATCTGAGCACAGCCCACCCTTGCTTCCCATTATAAGTGAGCTGGAGTAGACAAGACAAAAACGTGTGCAAACATCACCCCAGCCCCAGCATCAAAAACAAGTGGCATATAAAAGTCTGAGAGGAAACTGGCACAGTATATAAAGGAAACATATATGAAAGAAGGGCGGAAAGGGTAGCCTGGCCAATACCAAGATACCCATATGTTATGTCCCCATCTCTCCAATCTAAGTTCTAGGTCTTCTCCAACCATGGGAAGTTTCCAAGACTCAGCCAGGCGTCACAGGCCCCTTGGCATTTTTTAGTCTCTTTCACCCCAACCCTAGTCTTTACCTTGGAAGGGGAAGGAAGTGGGGGTGCTGCTCCAGGAGAGGTGAGGACTGGCGTGGGGATGATGGGTGCTGCCAATGGAGTCTGAGCTGGGGTACTGGGCTCACTGCTGCTCAGCTCCCCTGCTGATGCTGAGCCAGAGGGGCCCAAGGAGCTACTGGCCCCAGACACTCCAGTACTGGCTGGGCGAGTGGGCTATTCAGAGAGGACAGGGGAACAGGGCAGTGAGAGGGAGACAGACAGAGCATGAGAATATGACAAGGGAAAGAGACAGATAAGGGAAAAGTCAGAGTATGAAAGAACAACAAGAACAGACAGAGAGAAAGGGAGGGAAAATAACAAGAATCAGAAAGCAACAATGACAGAGGACAGGGGAGGGAGGAGGAAAGGGAAAAAGGGTGGGAGAAGATTCAAGATTATTATAAGGTTCCTCCTTTTGGCACAGACCCCACATTCCTCCCAGCTGTGGCACTACCCTTTAGAACAGAATCTCCCCAAAACTCCCCGTGACCTACTTGTGTCATTCTAGCAATTTCTTAATACTTCCAGTCCTACCCTTACTCTGGGTCTGCACCCAACTCCCCCAGAGTAGGAAAAAAGTGTCTCAATATCATTCCCAGAGAAAAACAAATAGATTAAAGATTGTTCTCAATTTTCATGTTCCCAGAGAGGGCTGGGCTAAAAGTGAGGTGCAAAAATAAATAAAATAAAAATAATAAATAAAAGTGAGGTGCAGGCTCTCTACCACTGCCAGGCCCTCCCTCCTCTCCAGAAGTCAAACTGAATTGCCCTCCTTTGGTCTGTATCAGGGGATCCCACAGGCAAAAGGGTCAAAGTGAAAGTCGTAGCCCCAGACTCCCCTTGAAACAACCCTTCTATACCTAGTCCCCCAAGACAAAGGGGATCTAATCCGGTAGCTTGCCCAGGGCACTGTGGGGCTTGGTGGAGGTGGGTGCTGAGGAGCTACCCTCAAGGCTCTGTGGAGTGGACAAGCCTGCCCAGTGTTCTCCCTAGCAGGGCTGAACCCCAAAGTTCTTCTAGTGGGCTGACACTTGGAAAGAGCATTCTATCCCAACATTCCTATCCAAAGGCTTTCACAGACACACTCACCTCCTTACTAACATTCTACACTGCCAAGTACTTTACCTCTTCTAATCCCTCCCCTCAAAACTAGTCAAAATTACATTATTCAAGAATGCCTGTCTTGGATTAACCACAATCCCTCTCATTTCTCTTTTGAATTCAATGTACTAGGTCAGAAAAGCTGCTGAGAGCTAGAAGTCATTTTCCCAGGAGGGGCCTATCACCAAATCTAGGGCCCTCCTTCCCCTCAAAGAGAACCTATGTTGCACTGTGGCCAACTTTTATTTGATAGTGCACATGCTTACATACATGCACATGCCTGAAACGTGTGTATACTACTCAGCAGTGGCTTTGCACAGAGGCCTATTTGTTCTCACCTTGGGCCGCCGAGTTGTGGTCTGGAGAGGTAACAGGAGCCAGAAGAGAAGTAGTCAGGAAAGAAAGGATAATGGCAGGAAGACAGACAGCAAAGGGACAGCAATGAGAGCAGAAGTAACAGGAATGGGGCTATAGTTAGCCACCACTCCTCCACACCATCCCATCCCCTTCTCCCTCCGGTGAATCACCATATTTCTACTCCAGAAACCCAGAATTCCTATTACCCTTGGTTCCTGTTCTCACTTTTGCCCAACCTTTAGAGGCCTCACCCCTTAAGACAACCTGGAAATCCCAGAAGTCCCGTCTCCTAGTCTGAGCCACAAGAGACCAAAGGCAGCAACTCTGAGATCTCCAGAGGCCTGTCCTTCTTTGAACAACCTCTCCCCCTCCAACCCAGAACCATAGGCCCCGCCAATCTACCACTCCCAAGGACTGTCCCAGGTCAGCCTCTTCCTTCAAGTGCCAAACTCCATCATCTCCCTAGGAAGAACTCTCCCCCATGACAAGAGTGATAAAAGCCCAGAAGTGAGAGGTCAGATCCCTAAAGCAGAACACAGCTGTCCTTCCTCCTCCCCAGGACTGGATCTTGCAGCAGTCCCCATCCCTAACGCAGAGGGCTCAGGTGTCAGGACTATGAATATTGCATTAGCAGAAGCCCAGAGCTCAGCAAAGTAACCCCACCCAGCTGGACAAGGGAGGTGGGGGTGGGGAGCAGAAAACAGAGAAACTGTTGTAAACCAAATCCAGAAACACTTCAGATTACTGCAAAATGGTAAATGGGTGATTAACTCCAATTCCCATAGAGTATTCTTGCTCCCCAGTATCTCATTGCTCTGGCAAAGCCAAGATTGGCTCAGACCCAGTTTCCAGGAGACACTTAGCCCAAGGAGACCTATCCTTACCCCTCCTACCGAGGACTAAGCTTCCATAGTTGTGGGTCAAAAACTATTCTAGGGTCCCCATCCCACCCTTGGAAGCCCCCTGACACAAATCCCAGGGTGGTGGACACTGAGAGAACAACCAAGAGTCATTCTAGAAAGGCTGGGTGAGGCAGGCAGGCCTGTTAGAGGCACTGAGACAGCTGGGCCTGTTTCCTCAGGCTCTACTACAGAAAATCCTCTCAAGCCTGTTTGCAGTAGGGGATCCCTGAAGCCCAAGCTTGTGAGACCACTGGAGACAAGGCCTGGAACAGACTCATCAGAGCCAAAAGGCAGGGCACAGAGCAAATCCCAGGGGTGAGGCACAGTGGTGATACACACCTCTCCTTGCCCCCTCCCTTCACCCTCATACTCCTCCCCCAACCAGGTAGACAGATGAAGTCAATCAGCGCCCACCCCCACCCCAGCAGCCTACTGCCACCATCGACCTGGCAACCCAGCAGCAGGACCACAGCAAGCAAGAGTACCTTTCGGGCTGTCGGTGCCTGTCTCATCATTGCAGAAAACCAAAGAAAGCAAGGAGAGGAAAGAGGAGGGACAGAGAGGATAGACAAACACCGGGAGGAAGGACAGACGAAGGGAGGGAAGGAAAGAGACCGAACAGAGGGAAAGGCGGCGAGACAGATTAGTGCATCAAATCCCAACAATGCAGCCTTAGCTCCCGGCCAGCAGCTTCCCAGCCTGCAAATGGCTGCCGCTCCAATACAGAGGCCCCCGAAGGTGCCCAGCAGGACAGCCAGGCTCCAGCAGGCACTGGAGCAGTAACCAGCCGAGTTCACCAGCTTAGGCTGATGGCAGCCTCAGTGGCCGCAGCATCAGCTCCACCTGACGTCATGCACCCACCCTCCTCTGCTCCAAGGGGGTGGAGCCACTGTTCCTCGGTCACCTAGCAACCACCCAGGGGCCTGCTGGCTCCTCCTCCTCATCGTGACTGGACCAAGTCCTGCATTGGGCCCGCCCTGCTGCTTCCTCTAAAGAATAGGTTCATGCTCCACCCTCCCCCTCCCTTACCCATCCCCAAGAGCTTGCTTCAAAAAAGTGGGCCCCAGGGCATGCCAGAAATGGCACCTTATGGGGAGATGGCATCAGTGGGCAGGGACACAGGGCTTCCCTGCTCCATGTTTCTCATGTCATAACTGCACTCTGCTCCTTCTACAACCCCATTGCTTCCACTTTTCTTATACACACTGGCTACACCCTGATGTCTCATCAGGAACACACACGCACAACTCCCCTCCAGCAACCAGCTTAAACTCTGAGGAGCAACAGAGTAATTTAAGAAACCCTGGAGAACACTCCATCAGAACAGCAGCAACTCTGATGACAATGATGGGCTCTTCTTCCAATGGTCCCCTAGTTGTAGACAGGTTAAATAAAGCCTGTTCCTAAAGGGCTTTCCAGAAAGGACGAGGTACTTTGCAGACACATCTGTGTTCTCTTCTGCCCTCCCCTCAAAGCACTCTTTTTTGTTCTGGATCTAGCTCTCTGTTCCACAGATGAGAGCAGAGGCCCTGGCTAAGTGATTTGTTTTGAGAGAATCACTAGGGTGGAAGACTGGAGAGCAGGAGTACTCTACTACCTGACTGACACTGTCCACTGCAAGGTGCTACAAGCCAGCATGGGCAGTCCAGGCTGAGCTCTGCCACATTTCCACAGGTTTGGCATTGCTCAGGTCCCTTCCAGGGTCACGTCAGGCTGCAACCAGAATTCCTCCACAGACCTCAGACTGCAGTTTCATGTTCTTCTCTATTCAGGGTCCTGAGGTAAGACAGGAGCCCCAACCAGGAGGTAATAATCAAGAGATGATCCAAGTTTCCATGATGCTAGAATGGGCCCAGCATCCTTTAGAGCACTGTTTTTCTTACAGCCCCATTCCCACCTGGAGCCAGGACTGAGGACCAAAGCAAGTACTAGCATGTGGTCTCTACCATTGCAAGACTCCAAAGTGAGGCCACATTACCTACTAGGAGTCAAAGGGAGAAGTTTTCCCTTCACTTCCCACTGCCATAATCCAGTAGCTCTCCATGCAACATCAGCAAGGCAGGACACAGTATGGCAACAAGAAAATCACAATACATACAGCATATACATTCAGCTCAGAAAGGCACATGCAGGTCAGGGACAGCTTGGGCACGGGCCCAAGGCAGAAGGTGGCATGAGGAAGCAGTCATGTCAGCACTTCTAAGTGTTTAAAACTCTGTGGAGGGGAAGGAGGTGGCACAGCCGAGACCCTGTATATGTGGGTGAGGGGTGGACCTGAGGCACACACCAGAGGAAGGAAGTGGCAGGGAAAGACTGATAGGGTGGATATTCATGGCAACACCCACCCAGAGGCAGGCAGACTCTCAGGCATTCCAACTGTTCCTTCTGTGCATTGTCCCCTGACCTCCCATTTCTCTGCACAATCACTTTACTGAGTACTTTCTCAAGCTCCATTCCTCCAGTCTGTTCTTCACTGCCACCTAAATTCAACTAAGGGAGAACCCACCATAAGCCAGTAAACATTCTATTTCATGTTGTTGCTGTTTAGTCAAATGTTGGAGTTTCTAACTAGGAGTCTGGGGCAGGAAGAAATCATCTCTAATGAGTGCTACTTGGGCTAGACCCTGAGCCTGATGTCTTTGCACCCTTTAAAGGAGCTCTGGAAGCCAAGGCCACCATATCCTCTGGCCATCCCAGCCCCCAGGTTACACACACATGCATGCAGCAGCCCAAGGACATGCAGGACAGCAGGGGAGGGGGCTCATGGCCCCCACCCACCCCAGCACAAACAGTAAACACACCACCTTCTTGGGCTTCAGTCCCCGCTGCATGAGGAGTAGGAAAGGGCGGAGTTAGAAAACAGACATCACATTGTGCTAGCTCGTCAGACAATCCAGACGTAGTGTTACTACCAACTCAAGCATACACAGGCAGGGGATAGGGGACAGAGCAGGCCAATGTCAATTTATGAATGAGATGAGGTGTTCATCAAGGATCAGCTTGGAGGAAGTCCACACTCTGGTCCAGAGAAGCTGGAGCCCTACCTCACAACACTGCAGAGGAATGGTACAGGGGAGCTAGGAAGGACCCTCTGCATACAGACTAAATCAGGTGGCAGAGGGCCTGGCTCCTTGTCACCACTTGTGAATACGAGAGCTCCTTTTTCCTCTATTTCTACCTTACCCTACCCTCCAACTATTTAGATCTTGGCATCTTTGGGTACCAAAAGGTAGGAACCTGGCTACACTCTTAGGGTCAGATCTATCCTTCCTATCACCCCCAGCTCAGTCCCACTTGACCCTGCACTTCTGGAACCTAATAGCCTTTCCTTGCTACCACCTTTATGCTAAACCTAATACAGCAACTCATATTCAGAAAGCATCCTTATAGGGAGGTTGGAGAGACTAGATTACCTCAGTTCAGACTTACATACGGCTTCTACCTAGCACTGGGTCTCCCTCCCTTCCTCTCTCTGTTACTCCCTACACCCACCAACAAACTACTTACCAGTTTGCTAGTCTTTGCAGCTGTATCAGCTCCCTCTGTAGAAAGCAAACAGAAACAAAGTATGCATTTGTATAAAGGGCTAGGGACAGATAATATCATGGTGGGGTGGGGGGAGATATAACAACGGAATATGGTGGTGATGGAAAACTTTCAGTATCCACTGTGGCCCCCGTTATATGAAGTGCTAGGACTTCTGGACATGAGGAGACAACTTAAGTGGGTGGCTGTTACCTCTTTTGAGGACCTTTGAAGCAGATGAATCAGGTGTCTCTGGAGAAGTAGTATCTGCTCCATCTTCAAATACCTGGATCTGAAGCCATGGAATAGACTCAATACATCCAGATTAAGAATGGCTCTAATATGGGTCTCTCCCCAGTTCTCAAGCAAGACAGAATACAGGGCAGCTTTCATAAGGATGAACTGCCAATCTTCCCACTGCTGCTACCTCCTACTCTCCCAACCAGAAGCTTATGCCCACAATCTGGAAAAGAAAGTACCAACACACCAGCTGTACATGCAGCAGATATATGCATGCACTAAAACACACACACACACACACACACACACACACACACACAAAGTAAAGGATGCGTACCTGGGATTGGCGCACAAAGATGCCATGCCCTTCATCACAAGTGAAATACTTTCTGCCTTGGACAACTCCATCATTCTTGCCCTTTGCTTCATCCAGGATAACGCCTACCCATTTGCCAGTGGCAAAGAGTGTGGCTCCAACATAGGCCACAGTGCCTCGGTGGCCTTTTCCAATCACCTCCACACGGGAGCCCACACGCAGAGGCCGGGCACTTGCCTCCGCACTCATCCTGCTGCTACTAGGTGTCTGAAAAAAACACATATCCAAGGGGCCTCAGGTCAAAGGTTGCATCCTAATGCATAAGAAACTATCCACCTGGACTGAAAATAGACCAGAAGTTGCTTCTGTGAACTCGATTCTTAGGGTGGTGTTAGCCTCCAAATTGCCCTTTGAAAAATATCAGTGATAAGTCTTTCTATAGCTTCTTCAAATTCCTCTGGAATCTCCTAGAATTTTCAAGAGTTTACATTTAAATTTTACAACACATCAGAACTCATTGATAGACCTGTCAAATTTACCACATGGCTGTTTTCTCAGGAATACTGCCCATAAGGAGAGGAATTAAACTCAAGCAAATAACTCAGTTTACACCAGGCTCTTCATAACCTAATACCCTGACTCAAAAGTCTGAGAGGGGAAGATAGGTGATTCAGTGGGCGTCCCCACTGCATTGTTTCCCTTTCAACTGTCATCTGTCTTCCCTGGGTTCAAACAGCTCTTTCAGGCCTTTCCCTTTCAGAGACATACAACCATTACTCTTTTCAGGCCTTCAAGTCACCACCACTCCTTCCTGATCTCATTCCTGTCACTCCCATCCACATAGCCACGATGATACTCCTGAAGCTGCACAGCACCCTATTCACCCATCCTACTCCCTTCCTCCTGGCCTGTATCCTGCTCTGTCCACTCTTCTCCTAAGCTCTGGAGATTCTTCTCCCAAGCTCTGGAGATTCTTCTCCCATGCTATGTTGCTATAAAAAGAAAAACACAGGCCAGGTATATCAGGTACCTCAGATTTGTCCCATTTGTACCTCATCTGCCCAGCAGTGCAAATGGATATCTTGTCACTCCACAGATAGGCAAGGAAGAGGAATAAACTAAAACACTGTCCTTGGGAAGCTCTTAGCTTCTAACACATTTATGATGACAGGACACAACATGAAATTAGGTCCCAAATCAGCCCATGGTTTAGAAGAAAATCACACCTAAGCCATTTTTAGTAATAGCAGCTCCATGGACCAGAAGCCTTGCAGCAAACTGATAAATGAAGCAAGAAGAAGTAACACCACAGTCTTAAAGATTTCGTGGAGCTCCTTTCTTATACCCTCACTTGGCTTCAGAAGGGAGCCCTCCCAGAGCCAGGGAAGAGTCTGAACACTTCCAGCCTGTCACTCCCTAATTCCCTTCACCAGGAAGGTAAGGACACAGCTCCCAGGGGCTCAGGACCTCGAATCATACCTGGACAGCAGGCCAGATCTCATGGACCTGATAAAGGAAATTTCCAATGATATCAAGGCTATACTCAAACTCAGAAACTACCCCCAACCTCCCAACAAGCCTCTCCAAACCAGGAGGACTCAACAGTGGGTACAGATTCAATCTCAGACAGAAAAGAAACCAAGTAACAAACAACAAAGCAGCTCTAAAGAAAGGCCTTGCTATCCTGCCTCTCTGACCCATCAACCCCATGCTGAGTCCCCAAGAGAGCATGGCCCCCTTCAGGAACCCCTACCCTGATAGCCAATTAAGTCAGAGGCTGGGCCTTGGCAGTCCCCATTTAGGGCCCAACTCCAGGAAGGGAAACCTGTCCAGCCTGTCATCATTAGGGTTCCAGGTCTCCTTTGGAACACAGTTTGTGAGTACCCACAGCTGAGTTCCAGCCTATCTCCCCAGCCCCCACTGCAGTGATGTCCACAGGCACTCAGGCCTTCTCCAGCAGCCTTCCCAGGGCCATCCAGGTTAGGGCCACTTACCCGGTTGTACACGTGCCTCTTGCTTTGGGCCATGTTGCTCACCCGGCCTCTACCCCCTCCCCCAGCTGACCAAAGACAGAGAGAAAGGCAGAAACCTAGGCAGGAGGGTCAGGGCACTGGGCCCTCAAGGACCGACACAGGGCCGTCAGGCACGGCCCTCCCCTCCATAGGCCTCCTTCAGTGGCCGACGGGATAGGGATGGGGGTTGTGCTGGGGGCTGATGAGCAGGTCCTCTCTGCTCCCCAAGGATTCCTGAACCCAGAGACACCGAATCCTGCTTGCCAGCTGATGAGTCTCACTCTGCGCTAGTGCCGCTCTAGACTTGTCAGGGACCGTGCTAGCCTCTGGGTCCTAATGCTCCCCTGCTTCACCTGGGCCAGACAAGAGGGGCAGAGAGGAGGAATAGACAGGCCCAACCACAGACCCCTCAGCTCTCACTTCTAGAGTATAGTGTCCTAGAGCTGACAGCACAGTCCTGAGGATTCCTCCTAGCCTGTACCCTCTCATCATCACTGTCTCCCCTGCCCCTAGGATATGAGGCTTCAGAAGGCCCACAAGTATCAAGTGACACCTCAAAATGATCAGCTGCCTAGAGTCTTCACACAGACAAAATAAGGGTCTCTCACCCCTCCTGCTAGTATTCCTCTCTCTCTCCCTACACTCTAAACTATGGACTCAGGGCCTGGATTTCAATCTCACACTAGGCCAGAGTAGCCAGGCTCTGCCCAAAAACAACAAAGGGGAGTAATGGGGGCAATTTCACACACTTACCCCAGGTCCCCCCACACACACTAGCAAAGGTGTCACAATCATTCTTCCTCCCTTTTGGTTGTAACAACAAGCCAGGCTCTGAACCCCAAGAGTGGGCCAGGGATTTAGCTCAGTGGTTCTGCTGCCTGCTTCGCAAACATAAGGCCCCGAGTTCGATCCCCAGTACCAAAAAAACACTGAACCCCAAGAGTATCAGATTCAACTGGATTACTCAGAGGAGTGTTTACAAGCACAGAGCCCCACTTTCCCCCTGTAGCCTAAGGCCCAGTCCACCTCAACCACCTGCCCCTTGTATTGTTTCTTTGGACCTGCCCACTAACATATCCAATGAGATGATTTATTTTTTATATTTCCATATTTCAAATAATTCCTGAATAATCACATATTACCTTTATAATAAACTATAGAAAATTAGTGAGATTACGGTTGGGGGGGGGCAGTTTGCAGCTGAGAACTGAACCCAGGGACTTCAAACTAAGCTACATCCCCAGCAACTTTTTTATGTTGAGACAGGTCTTGCTAAATTGCCCATGCTGGGCTTGAATTTGTGATCCTTCTGCTTGGTCTCCCAGAGGGCTGGGATTACAGGTATATGCCACCACACCAAGCTGAGATAATGCTTTTCTGGTGAGATTATGCTTTCTCCTGGGGGCTATGTATCTACATGTTCCTCCCTCCCTAGATATTGCAGGGGAGGAGAGTTGTTTCCTAGGGGTCTGGACAGGATTAAAGATACAGAGAGGTGTTCTGGGCTGTAATTCTTTCTGTTGACTGTCATTCTACTGTTGGCAGGGCCATGTAGGCCTTGCAGGGCAGGTCTGACATATTCAGAGTGCTACAGTCTGCAGAGTACCTTAGAAACACTGTTCCACAGTGGCATAGCTGAGAGCACTGATTCTAAACTCAGGC